AGCGTGAATGTACTTAATGCCATTGAACTGTACACTTAAAAATGCATAGGAATTAAGTCAATAATATTGTAATAACTATGCATGGTGCCAGTACCACCCTGCCTTTATAGTTAATAAAGCTTTACAGTTAAGCTTTACAGTAAGTTTTTAAGTCAGAAAATGTAAATTCTCCAACTTTATTTCTCTTTTTCAAGATTATTATGGCTATTTTTGGCCCCTTGAATTTCCACATAAATTTTAGGATCAGTTTTTCAATTTTTGTAAAGAAGTGAGCTGAGATTTTGGTAGGAATTGCATTAAATCTGTAGATCAATTTGGAGGGTATTGTCATCATTAAAAAAATTAATTCCTCCAATCCATGAATATGGGATGCTTTTCCATTTATTTAGACCTTCTTTAATTTTTTGAATGGTTCATAATTTAGTGTATGAGTCTTGAACTTCTTTTGTTAAATTTATTCCTAAGTAACAAATTTTTATGCTATTGTAAATGGAATTGTTTCCTTAATTTCATTTCCAGATTATTTATTACTAGTGTATAGAAATATAACTGATTTTTAATGTTGATCATCTATCTTGTAAACTTGCTGAACTTGTTTACTAGCTTTAATAGGTGATTTTTATGGTGTGTGTGTGTGTGTGTATTGCTTAGATTTTCTAAGATCATATCATCTACAGAAATAGTTTAACTTCTTTCTGTCCAGTCTTAATACCCTTTATTTCATTTTCTTGCCTGATTGCCCTGGCTAGAATACCTAGTAAAATATTTAATAGAAATGGAGAGAGAGGACATCTTGCCCTATTCCTCATTTTAGGGGAGAGCTTTAAGTGTTTGACCATCAAGTATGATGTTAGCTATGAGTTTTTTGTAGGTACACTTTAATCAGGTTGCAGAAGTTCCCTTCTCTTCCCAGTTCATTGAGTTTTTGTTGTTTGTTTTATATATATATATTGATTGCAGAGAGGGAGAGAGATACAAATACCAATGATGAGAATCATTGATTAGCTGCCTCCTGCACACTGCCCCCCCCCCCCAGTGGGGATTGAGCCCACAACCCGGGCATGTGCCCTGACCAGGAATTGAACCATGATCTCCTGTTTCATAGGTCGACACTCAAACACTGAGCCACGCCGGCTGGGCTGTGAGACTTTTTAATTACTAATTCATTCTCTTTACCTGTTATAGGTCTATTTAGATTTTTTTTTTTATTTCTTCAGTTAAGTTAGTCATAGTATACCCTCTTTTATTACTTATTTCCATAATTTGAGCCTTCTCTTTGTTTCTTTGTCAGTTTTGTTGATCTTTTTCAAAGAACCAACTTTTTATTTTCTCTGTTGGTTTTTCTATTCTCTACTTTACTTTTGCTCTAATCTTTATTATTTTGTTTTTTTGTCTTGCTTTGGGTTTAGTTTCTTCTTTTTTAGTTTCTTAAGATAGAAGGCTAGGTCATTGATTTGAGATAACTTTCTTCCTTTTTAATGTAGGCATTTACAGCTATAAATTTCTCTCTAACCACTGTGTTAGCTACTAATTATACATTTTGGTATGTTGTATTTTTGTTTCCATTTGTTTCATAGTATTTTTAGTTCCCTTTGTGATTTCTTCATTGACCTATTTATTGGTCCACATTTAGGAGTGTATAATTTGATTCTCACATACCTGTAAATTTTCCTTCTGTTATTGATTTCTAATTTCATTCCAGTGTGGTCGGAGGACATACTTAGTATGATTTCAATCCTTTTAATTTTGTTGGGAGTTATTTTATGGCCTAACATATGGTCTGTTCTGGAGAATGTTCCATGAGCACTTGAGAAAATGGATTATGCTCTTGGATAGTCTGTTAGGACTAATTGGTTTATAATGTTGTTCAAGTCTTCTGTTTCCTTGTTGATCTTCTATCTAGTTGTTCTATTCATTACCACAAAGTATTTTGTATTAAAGTCTCCAACTATTATAAATTATCTATTTTTAATTCATTTCTGTCAAGTTTTGATTCATCTATCTTGGAGAGATGTTGTTAGGTGCATATATGTTTATAATTATTATATCTACTTCATGAATTTTCCATTTTATCAATATAAAATGTTCTTTTATTGTGTGTAGTAAAAGGCTTATTTTGTCTGATGTCTTTTTTGGTTTCTGTTTGCATGATACAGATGCAACTTGACTTACAATGGGGTTAAATCCTGGTAAACCAGTATAAGTTGAAAATACATCTAATACACTAACCTACTGAACAACGTACTGGTAGCTTAGCCTATCTTAAATGTGCTCAGACCACTTACATTAGCCTAAAATTGGGCAGTTGTCTTGAGTTTTATCTCAAAAAGTAATTGCCTTTCTCCTTTTCTTCTCACCAGGAAGCAGTAGACACAGATGTGGGTTTTGTAGACATGATGGGGGGCAAAACCACAAAACACAATTTCCAAAAAACAATGGCAACACAGTACACTGTCGAGTATCAATTGTTTACCCTAGTGATCATGTGGCTGACTAGGAGCTGTGACTCACTACTAATGCCCAGCATCATGAGAGAGTATTGTACTGCATGTCAGTAGCCTGGGGAAAGATCAACATTCAGAATTTGAAATACAGTTTCCACTGAATGCTTATTGCTTTCACACTGTTGTAAAGTCAAAAAATCATGTCAAACCGTTGAAAGTTGGGGACCATATGTATATCTTTTCCCATCCTTTCACTGCTTTGTCTTTGAATCTAAAGCCTCTTTAGCTCTTTACCGCATCTACTGTGAGGATGAAGATCATTCTCAGCAATCAGACTGTCGACATTTCAGAAAACGTGGACATCACTCTGAAGGGACACACAGTTATTGTGAAGGGTCCTGAGGCACCCTTCAGAGGGACTTCAATCACATCAGTGTAGAACTCAGCCTCCCTGGAATGAAAAAGAAGAGGCTCTGGGTTGACAAATGGTGAAGTAGAATGGCTACCGTGCACTATCTGCAGTCATGTACAGAGCATTACCAATGGTGTTATACTGGGTTTCTGTGTGCATCCACGTCCCCATTAACATGATTATTCCGGAGATTGGTTCTTTTGTTGAAATCAGAAATTTCTTGGGCAAAAAATACATCTACAGGGTTTGGATGAGGTTAGGTGTTTCTTGTTCAGTATGTTAAGCCCAGAAGATGAGTTAATTCTTGAAGGAAATGACATTGAACTTGTATCAAATTCAGCTGCTTTGTTTCAGCAAGCCAGAACAATTAAAAAAGGATATCAGAAAATTTGGGGATGGTATCTATGTTTCTGAAAAAGGAACAGTTCAGCAGGCTGATGAATATAGAGATCTAAGTTGTCTAGCTATAGAAATAGCAAGGTGATGATTCCTCAGACTTATCTGTGATATTTTAAAGATGCAGTAAGAAGCCATATATTGGGGGGAGGGGGATAATAAAATGTGTCTCTTTAGAGCATGTAGTTGGTTCATATTTCTTTTTATCCATTCTGCCAATCCCTGCCTTTTAATGGGATAATCTAATCCATTTACATCTAAAGTAATTACTGATAAGGAAGGGCTTTCTTCTGCTACTTTGTTATTTTTTTTCTGTATGTCATATGTTGTTTTGTTCCTCAGCTTCTTCGCTGCTACTTTCTTTTGTATTTATTTGATTTTGTGGTAGTATATGGTTTTGATTTCTTTCTCATCTCCTTTTCTGTATGTTTTAGTTATTTTCTCAGTTGTTACCCAGGAGATTACAAATGACTTCTTAAACTTATAAGTAACAATCTAGTTTGCATTAATGTCAATTTCAATAGTATACAAAAACTTTGCTCCTATATAGTTCCATTTCTCCCCTCATTTGTGCTGTTATTGTATACAGATTACATCTCTATATTTTGTGCTTGTCAACACAGATTTACAATTATTGCTTTATGTAGTTGTCTTTTAAGTTAGATAGGAGAAGAAAAGGTATAAAAAGAAAAAAATTCATTTATACTGTCTTTATACTTGTTCATGTAACTACCTTTACCAGTGCTCTTTTTTTACTTCATGTTGATTTATATTACTCTCTATTATCCTTTCATTACATTTTGAAAGGTTTCTTTTAGTATTTCTTGTAGGGTAGGTCTCCTAGCAATGAATTCTCTTGGTTTTGTTCATCTGAGACTGTTTTAATTTCTGCTTCATTTTTGAAGCACAGCTTTGCTGAACATAGAACTTGGTTGACAGTTTTTTCTTTCAGCACTTTGCATATGTCATCCCACTGCCTTCTCACCTCTGTAGTTTCTGATAAGAAAGCAGCCACCAATCTTTTTTAAAAATATATTTTTATTGATTTCAGAGAGGAAGGGAGAGGGAAAGAGAGATAGAAACATTAGTGATGAGAGATAATCATTGATCGGCTGCCTCCTGCATGCCCCCTACTGGGGATTGAGCCCGCAACCCGAGCATCTGCCCTGACCAGGAATTGAACCATGACCTTCTGGTTCATAGGTCGACACTCAACCACTGAGCCATGCTGGCTGGGCAGCAGCCACCAATTTATTGAAGAGTCCCTGTATGTGATGAATTGCTTTGCTCTTGCTACTTTTAAGATTCTCTCTTTGTCTTTTGTCAGTTTGATTATGATGTGTCTAGGTGTGGAGCTCTTTGAATTTATCCTATTTGGAGTTCATTTAGCTTTATGCATGTGTAGATTAATGTTTTTCATTAAATTGGCAAAGTTTTGGGTCATTATATTTTTCAAATATTCTTCTGCTCCTTTCTCCGTTTCTTCTGAGACACCCATTATGCATGTGTTGCTATACTTGATAGAAGAAGCTAAACTGTCTGCCTCGCAAGGATGGAAGACGGCAGCTTGTTTCCCAACTGATTGCACTACATGCCTGCTGCAGGAATAAACAGCAGCCTTATATGGGCCAGCAAGTCATTAAATTAAAGTTTGGGGCCCCCTTTTGGTCATGTATTGAATGAGGTATTTCTTGCTGGGAGATGATAGACCATTGCACTAATGAACTTGATTTGCTTTTCCTCTGTAGGTTCAATGTCAACAACACCATTCTTCATCCGGAGATTGTGGAATGGTAAGTACAACCTGTGTCTACCTTGACTGTTCATTGTGCTCAGCTCAGGAAGGTGAGAGACCCTGCTGTTCCTGCTACTCCAAGTCAGAGAGCCCAGCAGACAAGCCAGTTCCCAGATCTTCTCTCAGAGTCTTCTGTCTTCTTTGTTTTTTTGTTTGTTTGTCAGTTGGTTGTTTTTTTGAAAGAGCATGAGTCATTTGAATGTCAATTAAATTTCACTTATCTTTTCCTTTATTTTCAGTCTTTTGAAGCTCCTACTAAAAATAAGCCAACCGTTTGTAGCTCAGTTAAAGTAGATAGTGAAAAGACTAAAAATAAATATCTTACATATGATTAGAAAGGTAAACATGTTTTCCTCATGTCATGCATCTATCTTGAGTAGTTGGCATCCTATTATACCTACTTTCTTCCCTTGGTGATGTTGGCAGCCCCTACCTGCAGCATGACTGGTTTCTGGTAGGTCAAAGCAGGACAAGCTTCCTCAGGTTGGGCATTGCCTTTGTGGACTCTGGAAGTGGCCCTCCAACCCTAACCCTACCCCTAACCCTGTGCCATTAGTTTTCTTCCTAACCATCAAGTTGCTCTTTGATAGCACCAAAATGTTTTTATTTGCTATATGTCTGCACTTACTCTGATTGTAGTAGAGAAGTAAGGCAGGGCCTTTGCCACCTCATCACCTGACTGGGAGGTGTGTAGACTCCTCACGTCTGATCCTAAGGCCATATGGTCACCTTTCCTCATCTGTTTGGGAGGGCTTGCTCACCTAGTCTTGGAGCTTGGGAGCACTGTGACCTGAAGGATGAGTAGGAGTTGGTTGGTGAGGTTGTGGAAGCATGGAGCCGGGGAGGAGAGAACCTGTTCAAAGGCTGGAGAAGAGAAAGGGAAATCGCCTTGCGTGTCCCGCGTAGAGCACACACTGGACAAGTGCCTTGGAGGGTGGTTGGAGAGTTGGGCAGGGGCTGGGTCGGCCATGGTGCCAACTTGGACTTTGTCTTGAGAGAAATGGGAACCAAGGGAAACCTTTGACATATTTAAGCAGAATGGTAGGATCAGGTTTGCATTCTAAGAAATCATTTTGGCTTCAGGCTGGAGACTCAATTGTAGGGCAAGAGTGGGAACAGGTTGCCAGATAAGAAGCTATTGCAGGTTCTAGGTGGCAGTGGAGGGTGGTGGGACAGAGTTGAGAGGTAAAGCGTCAGTCAAGGGGAATGCTCCCGAGAGGAATCTACTGTGACAGTTGCGTGAGGGGGAAGTTGAAGGTGACTCCGGGTTTTCGTCCTGAACAGCTGGAGACTAAAGATGGTGATGGCTAGGAGGGGCAGGTTCTGTGGCGTGTGTTGATTTTGAGTCGGGGGCCAGTGATTGGGCCAGAGGTGAAGACCTGAGGGCTGTTGGCAGGCATCACTGCTGACCCTGGAGGAGCTGGAAGGCAGGCCTGCCAGCTTAGTGCCGTCAGCAGCCCTGGCCCAGTGCCTGTCATGGCCACACATTCTGAGGGTGGGGCCTGTGTTCTTCAAGTACATGGCCACCTCTTGTTTTCATAAAGTAACAAATGCCTGGCTCGTCTCTAGACCCCGTTGACAGAAGAATAAATCCTGGACACTCGGGAATGGGCCGAGTCCACTCGAGTTCCACATGTGGCGTTCCCTCTTGGCTGCTTACAGTCGATGCTTTAGAGACGATGGCTGAATGGCATGCTCCAGCATCTCCTAAGGGATAAGTCATTAGTTCATCACTTTGGAACAAACACACTTTAATTCTAGTGACATTTCCAAGGCTCTGAAGTGGATTCTGCGTTCATAAGAATACCTCCCAACTTTATTAAAGCCAGCAGCAGAAAGGACTCATTTGGCATTTGATGGCAGTAGAACCGTTTTAGAAATGTCACATCATCCTCACTGCCGCAGGGGTGGGTTTTCATTGCGTGGGTGCTGGCCTCTGTAGGGACTGCAGTCACGCTCAATGCGAGCCCGGCAGTCAGGATCATTGCTCTCCTAGTCATGAAGGAAGGAGTCTGGGTGGAAGGGGGGCAGGCCCCTCATTTGTAGGAGAGAGGGGGCTTTTCTGAACTTTAAATTATGATTCATTGATGTATCTTTGGGCCCCTGCGTCCTGAATGCTTTTAACATAGTCTGTCTCTAGGCCCCATAGAGAGAAGCTGTCTGGGGTAACGGATAAACCACCCAATCGGGCAAATACAACCTCTAACCCCAGCCTACTTTGCTTGGAAAGTCACTTAATATTCGGAGCCTCAGCTTCCTCCTTTGTAAGATGGGGATGGAGGGGTTCCTAACTCCCAGTGTGGGAGCGGCCTCAGCCTCTTCTTCTGTAACGTGGGGACGGAGGAGGCCCTAGTTCCCAGTGTGGGTGTGTCTTAGAGCATCGGACTGCCCTCACTAAGTATCACCTCATAAACAACAGGAATTTATTGCTCCCAGTTCTGGAAGCTGGAAGTCCAAGATCAAGGTGTGGACTGGCGTGGTGTCTGGTGAGGACCCACTTCTTGGTTCAGAGATGGCCGTCTTCTCTCTGTGCCCTCACATGGCAGAGGGGACAGGGAGCTCTCTGGGGCCTCTTTTGTAAAGGCACCTAACCCCATCCATGAGGGCTCTGTTCTGATGACCTGATCATCTTCCAAGGGTCCTGCTTCCTATAGCAAGACATAGGAGATTAGATTTCAGCAGGAATTTCGGAGGGAGACAAACATTCAGTCTAAAGCACTGAGTATCAGTTTCCTCCTACAAAGCGGAGTGGTTTTCCTTGCTGGGTGGCTGAAGAATCCAGTGAGAGCATAAGTGCTGTCACCTTTAGAGACTTCCTGTGTGCAAGGTATTCTGCTAAGCCAGTGGTTCTCAACCTTCTGGCCCTTTAAATACAGTTCCTCATGTTGTGACCCAACCATAAAATTATTTTCGTTGATACTTCATAACTGTAATGTTGCTACTGTTATGAATCGTAATGTAAATATCTGATATGCAGGATGGTCTTAGGCGACCCCTGTGAAAGAACTGTAATGTTGCTACTGTTATGAGTCATAATGTAAATATCTGATATGCAGGATGGTCTTAGGCGACCCCTGTGAAAGGGTCGTTCAACCGCCAAAGAGGTCGCGACCCACAGGTGGAGAACCACTGTGCTAAGCCCTTGACATGTCACCTTATTTAAAGAGGTATTTTGTATATGTTATAAGGTAGTTCTCTGAGTATCCCCATGCTACAGATGAGAAAACACTTGATTTGCCCAAGAAAAAGCCAGGAGCTGGGCCCAGGCGCTGGCCCTTGCAGCTCTGAGGAGCACCTGTCGGGCGGGGGCCTACCTGTGTGTCAGCCTTTCTCTCAGTGCACTCTTGGACATGCAGGGGTGCCAGAGCCCCTAAAACGGGTCTTGTGTGAGGCCATGGATCTTGGCGGGGTGGAAGGACAGGGGCTGTGCAGCTAGCACCATGCCTCCTGCCACAACAGGCACTCCAGCTCCTGCTTAGCCACTGGGCTGGGCTTTGGGATTCCCCCCGGGGCCTGTCTGACTGGGAGGCAGCGAGCAGCCTCTGCCCGTGCTCTCGAGCTTCCTTTCTCATTTTGTTTGGGTGCCATTCATTTCCTCTTGGTGACTGCTTTATTGTTTTCCATTCTCTCAAGCAGCGCCTTTTTGATTTCCTGTAAATCCCTCTATAATCATACTCTTCCCCACAAACATGAGATCATAACTGATAATGTCTCTTCTTGTGCTGGGTATTGCAGTTTGAATGTGGAGGTCAAAAGTTGAAACTTAATAAGAGCAGGCATCTCACTTCCATAATTTAGGCTGTGTTTCTCTTTTCTTGTTCTGCAGATGATGAAATTGATCTGTAGGTAGGCTGGGAAATGAATGGAGATGCTTTTGTACTGTCTGATAGCACCGTGCTTGAATTTGAGTTAAGTTCCCCCGGAAGCATCACAGGAGAGCTAGCATGTCAGCAAGTGCAGTGCGCTTTCTTGGTTTTGAAGTGAGACTGTGAAATTGAGTCATAGGCCGGTTTTAGAACTGGTAATTACACCGAGCAAAGGTGTCTTGTGTGTATTAATCAGGCAGTGGGGTAACAGATCTATTTGTACCCCGTTTCTATGTTCCGGAGATGGTGAGGTTCAGGGGCAGAGCACACCAGGATCCTACATCCCAAATTAGAAAAGGCACGTAGGTGATGACCTAGATTCTCAATATGTATGTGAAAACTATTTCAGTAAGAATGCTTTTGCTGTTTTTGTCTCCAAACATATACTAGTAGGCATTCAACCCAAAGTTAATAAGAAACCCAAGTGGAAAGTGGGATTCTAAGCACAGTGAGAACTTGAGGTATGGTGTGCCAGAAGGCAGGAGCCAGGCTGTGGGAACATCAGGGCCTGGTCCCGGGCGCCTCCCCTGCATGTGGCCCACATCTGCCTGGCCCCACTCTGGTCCCAGACACGCTGGGCTCACAGCTGCACTGAGCCATCAGTACTTCATGGCTCTGGTCTCTCTGAGAAGACTTACTCATTGAGCCTCTTGGAGATTTGTAATTCCAACCAGCTCTTTCTTTGCTGTCCCTGCTGCTGTTCTGGAATTTTACCCTTTGCATCCCTAGGGGTGGAAGGAATGGTCTTGGGGTCCTGTGGAATTGAATTCCCACCCACCTCTCCCACAGAACCATCCCCCATACATTCATCTGCAGGAGAGACGGAATTCCTGTCCTTTCCGGTGGGTTTTGTTGAACACTGTAGCACTCTGATGCTTAGAGACTGATTTTGGAAATACTTCAGCCCGTCTTGCTACTGTTTTCCTCCGTGGAGCATTCAGACCTCAGTTAATTGATGTCTTCATCCTGGGTTTAATGTCCAGAGGCAGCTTTGTGACCTGTGAATATTTAAGGGGGGAGGGGGCGGGCTAATTGCACAAATGAATCTCTGCCTAGTCCAGTTTTTGTCGTTTCAGGCCTGAGCCTTGGCCCTGCTGCCTTGTACTTGAGCAGCCCCTGGGAGTGGTGATGCTCACTGGCATGGCCAGGAGCTGGGGGATGTGCACAAGTGCCTGTCTCCCACACACATCAGGACCTCCTCTCGCTGGGGAAGAACCCCTGCCTGCTGTCAGACCTCTTAGGTGGCGTCTGTGAGGTCT